TGTCTAACTCAAATCAACTTGAAAATTAATTAAAAAAGAAAAATATACCTTTACAGATGAATCTTTTGTTGAAATTTATTGTGACAATTGTATTGAAAATGGCAATATGATAAACTTCTAAAAAACATCATGAAAATCCGTTTACATTTGACGAAGATGCAGCATAATATAGGTACACATAAAAAAATATATTAGCATTGAGTATACTTCCTCCATTTTAAGTCGAATTAAAAATTAAGTTAAAAGAAATAAAAAGTACTAGCGGCTCACCCTCGCTTCGCTCTCCAGGAAAACAAAAACAAACTTATCCCACGGAAACCGTACATTTTTTCCGGGATAAAAAGTAGCCTATATGTTATTCCAGACTATAATCTATATCTGTACTAAATTTCATCCAGATCCGTTCATTAATTTGTTCAAGATTGCAAAAGAAAATTTATAATGTACTTTCTTAGCTAATAGTATGAATAAACAAACAGAAAAAAATTTAAATGTAAGAACTGTTAAGTGGTGGACCATAAAGGAAAAGCCGTGTGTAGCTACGAAAAGTTAAAAGGGCTGAATTATATATTATTACAAGCATTGCCCGCGGCTCCGCACGCGTTCAGATGACTAAAAACTAAATTCTTAGGTTTTACATATTAGTATACTCTTACAATGCAGTTTTTGTAATTTTTTCTTAGAAATGAGATATTTTCCCGCGGTAAAAAGTATCCTATATGTTGACCCGGATAACCAGCTATCATCATACCAAATTTCATCAAAACCTGTCCAGTGGTTTTCTCGTGATGCGGTAACAGACAGATAGACAAAAATTCTAAAAACTATAGATTCGGATTCTGTATCGATAATAATGTCTATTACAATTAGTTTTTCCAAAAAATATTTAATGTACAGATTCGACTTAGTTACAATTTTATTATAGATATAGATATAGACTAGTGCTCGCCCAGTGGTTGAAATTCGTTTATAACCATTATTTTAAATATGAGGACAGTAAAATAAGAATAGAATTTACCTATCTATACAAATGAAAATTGCTTCCACTTTTTTTATTGATAACACTAAAACTCGTAAATAGCTACTACATAAAAAATAGGTGTTAAACAGGGGAGAAAAAGGTACTAACTGTTTGGTCTTAGCCTATTTATATTATATAAATTAAGTCGATAGAGGTGAAACCTAACAACCTGAAACAACACATATGTTTACATGTTGGGACATTACACACATCACCATCTAGTTCCATGGTAAGCTACGAGGCTTGTGTTATGGACACCATATAGTTGATACACTACACATATAAAACTTTTAATACATACATATTATAAATTACCTAAACACCCATGATTGGAGGACAGACGTTCGTGGTCATTACATAAATAAATGAAATCCAGCGGGACTCGAACCCGCGACCGCTAGCACAACAATCACAAACTGAACCAAAAAAAATATATCAGGCCATAGTAAAATATTTTTCGTTACATTTCTATTAATTACCATTTCTTACTATTGGTCAAAAGAATATTTATTAAATTATTCTTCTGTAACGATTAAATTTATATCGGAGCATCTTTCCAGAAACCAAAAGAACAAACTCCAAAAGTAAAACTGCCTTAAGGCAGAGGAAAATTATTAAAACTAAAGTTTTCTCGTTTTGTAAGCAAATTTTCTTATCAAATCAGCTTATTAGACAAGTTAATACTTGTCTTAAATATTCTACTTTTTGTTTCTCGCGTGATAAGCGAGATGGGGATCAATTGCAGCGTATCTCCGACCCCAGGATGCAATCTATGTCCTTGCAAAACTTTATCGAAATCTAGTGGTTTAAGTTTGAAAAGGTAATGGAAGAGTGAATTTTACATCTGTACTTAATATTATAAAGAGGCAGAATTTGTTTGTTTATTTGAACGCGCTAATCTCAGGAACTACTTATCCGATTTGAAAAAAATATTTTGTATTAGATAGCCCGTTTATTAGGGAGGCTATGTATTGTCATGCTGATACTCAAGGGAGTGGAGTACTAATCATAAAATTATATATCCATACTAATATTATAAATGTGAAAGTGTGTTTGTTTGTCTTTCTTTCACGTTCACGGAAACGGAGTGATGGATTGGTGGTTTTTTGTGTGGAGATAGTTGGAGCGCTGGAGAGTAACATAGGCTACTTTTTATCGCGGGAGATTATCTCACTCCAATGGGAAAACACGATATTTTACAAACAAAAAAAATATATTATCAGAATTACTTGAAACTTGGTATTAATACAATTAAAGGAATACGTGTTTAATCTCTCTACGACCGCGGACACGCCGGCGAGTCAGTTAACAATAGATTTCTTAGAATTTTAATTAATTTCTTAGAAATTTACCTGGATATTTTTTGAAATTCATCCCTTAACGGGGTAAAATAGGGGATTAAAGTTTATATGATACCCTATCTTTGCAGTTCTTTTTTGGAGTTTTAGCGCGAGCGAAGCCGCGGGTTTTCCTAGTATTATATAAATACATGAGTCGCTGTATAAAATAAAGCCAAAGAGTTGTCTTTTGTAGATTGAATGCGGACGAAGCCGCGGGTTCTGCTGGTTAATAATATTAGTATACATTTTTGATATTTAGTAATATCAAAAATATATACTAATATTATTTATATATTTTATTAATAGTCTAGAAAACTGAAAGGCAAATGAGAATAACATAGAGCAATATTAGCTCATAGATTGTATTGTCATCTTGTTTAAGCCATGATTTAAAAACGCATTTAGCCTACCTATATCAATCATTCAAGATAACCGGCGGCTATTTACCTGGAAGAAAAACCGATACGTACTCTAATCGTATTATGGGAAAGGAATAAATTATTTAAAGGTATTTTAGATTTCCGTACGCGTAGTGAAAATATCGCATTTGCTGAAAATAAATCTTACGTACAGGTATATTTTAGGAGGTTGAATAGTTTAGTTTCATTTATATTTTACTATTTCTAGTAGAACATCCCAGTTGTAATTGAAATTCAATATGAAAAATCTAATCAAAATGCTTTCATTTCATTGGTATATTATATACTAGCATTGCCCGCGGCTCCGCCCGCGTTCAGATGACCAAAAACCAAATTCTTAGGTTTTACATATTAGTATACTCTTAGAATGCAGTTTTTGTATTTTTTCTCAGAAATGAGATATTTTCCCGCGGTAAAAAGTATTCTATATTTTGACCCGGATATCCAGCTATCTTATATATAATATTATATATATAGTCATTAAAATTATTACAAATGTTACCCACTAAATCATGAAGCAATGCCAGATACAGATCTACTAAGTAATTAATTCATATTGTAGTTTGCATCCACCTCACTATTCAGTCGTTTGTCATTATATAATGTACGTGATCGTATAAGATATTGGAATCGCACAGATTACCTCGACTAATTGGTAACATTAATATGCTACAAGTAGTAAGATCTGCACCATGTTATATTAGAACCTACTAGCGACACACCCTTGCTTCGTTTGAGTGCGTCCTTTCTAAAATAAAAGTAACCTAAATTACTCCTTCTAACATCAGCTATCTGCCAGTGAAAGTCCCGTCAAATTCGGCCCAGTCGTTTTGGAGATTAGCCGGAACAAACAGACTGATAAACATTTTAAAAATCGTGTTTTTCTTATAAGTTTCGTAAATAATTCCATATGCATTTAGTAAAAGCTGTTATTTTGACATTACAAAGAGACAATGTACATTTTTTTAATCTCTATAGATAACAACAGGAATTTATCAATTAATTGATTTTAATACCTGAAAAACAAAAATATATAAGCACGTCCTTATTTTTTTATTCCTAACTCGTATCATTCACTCGACATAACCTCACTTCAGTCGAGTGACTTGACAAGTGACTCTCCGTGCTATTTAAACGGTTTTATTTAGGTTGCCCTGTTTACCCCTTTCCTGTTGACAGATTAATTTGATATTTGGTACACACCTTTAGTTCTGATGACAATACAATATAATAATATATTCAGCATTATTGTAAATCTAAGATGGCCGCCGTAACAAAATGGCGGACTGCATATTTTCATAACTCTCTCAATATAGGTATCAAATGAAAGGGCAAGTGACAAGTGGAACGCAGTGCATAGTGGATTATTGGATGTTCAACAGGAAGGACATCATACTGCACCATGATAATGCCAGACCACATGTTGGGGACTTGGCAAAAAATTGCAGAACTAGGCTGGGAAATTCTGTCGCATCCATCATATTCCCCGGACTTAGCACCCTCCGACTATCACTTGTTTTTGTCCTTACAAAATTTTTAAAGGGCAAAAAATTAAAAAAAAAAAGATATCAAACAAGCACTGGTTCAATTTTTCGCATCAAAAGATGATTTAAAAAAAAATGGAATATACAAATTGCCTTCACGCTGGCATAAAGTTATTAGTAATAATGGCAATTATATTTATTATTAAAGTTTAGTAATAGTCAGAAAAAAAAGTATATTATTTTATTCATAAAACGGATAGAACTTTCCGGTAGACCAAATAATATGTCAAAAGATGGCGTTGTGTCAAATGTTTTTGTACGTATTATAAACACATTGTGTGTGTAAATAAATAATGTGTCATCTACGATTTTACATAAATATGAGTGTTTTTGAAAAGAACATTTATAACAATAGTGAGTTTCTACCACATGCCATACAAACTTATGCTTTCAATTCAATACAATTTCTTTGTTTAGTGGCTTCTAGAAGTGCTGTTTTAGCACTATTTACTTCGGCAATGTCGCGTAAAATGGAGAAGATACATATTATATAGAAGGACCGAAGTTTTGCCTTGTGATAGTAATTTTTTACTAATTGTTCTTGAGTTGACAGACACCAAAAATCTAGTTAAAAATAATTTATTAAAAAAATCGCATTGTACTGAATAAAATTTATTAAGTAATAAAAAAAACTACTATACAATATTATAATAAATTATATAAACTGGAAGTATTAATCATAAATAGGTTTCATAGGAGAAATCCTATGAGGAGCTTGTAGGGTTCTGGGCATTTGCACAACTCGGCTGGTGTATTGTATAGGCTGACTGTAGTAGTAATTCATTTGACTGGGTTGATTTGTACGGTGGGCGACATGAGTTGTTAGAGGTACTTGTATTGATTTGTATTGACCTGTGAAATATTTTTCGTGGACGTCTAACCATCTTTGAACCTATAGAAAACAAAAAAAAACATTAATATCTTAATACATGCTGTCGATCGCGATTTTGTATAGAATAGTCTATATATAATATTATGTATATATATAGGTGTAGAAAATTAGGTAAGTACTTTAAAAATAAAAATAAATAAATATCCCTTACTTGAGAAATAATTGATTCCCCATGTAACTTCCGGTTTAATAATAATATAATAAATTATAATAAATAAAATTAAGTCCCGATTAAAACCGGTCGAGCCGTTTCGGAGGAGGGCGACCCCAAACACCTTGACACGAGATATTTGTATATTAGGTGTCTTCCTTATTCTTTAAATAGAATGTGGGTTAGTTTTAAAATAAATAATTATACATTTTTTATAGTTAGAAAGGGACAAACGAGCAGACGGATTTACCATCAGGTTGGTATCTGATGGTAAGTGGCTATCGTCTCTCACAGATATCAGTAACATTATCACCTCCAGGTAAATTTTTAAGAAATTATTTAAAATTCTAAGAAATCTATTGTTAACTGACACGCCGGCGTGTTGCGGTCGTAGAGGGAATAAGCGGAGTTGCGAATGCGTTGCCGACCGACCTTTCTGGGACCCAAATACACATTTTCGTTTTAAAAATCATTATTCTCATTAGGCCTTTTCGAAAGGTCATCAGACAATCTGATAAATACTGACAGAAGTTACTTTAGCTGAGATGAGATATTAGCCAAAAATCTGGCAGAATTTTGGATTATGCACTTACATATTCACAACGGCAAGGTGGCACGCATTCTTGATTTTGTTTGCTGGCTGACATTATACAATATGGCTTTAACACTAAAATTAATTAAGGCTCTAAAAATTTTCACTCAAACACTTAAACGATGATTGAAAAATTTACAATTTAGTTTATAAAATTGTATCATTTAAAAGTTTTTAGACTGTTCACTATCACAGCTTTCTTAAATTTGATTTTTATATATCCTTACACCCTTTAATATACATAGGTAATTAGTAAAAACCAGTCATTTTTTACATTAATGACGAGTAATTACTTAATTACTCAATTATTTTCAGATACTTTGTTAAGCTATTATATAAAATATATGTAGGTAATTAATTATTAATAAAATAATATAATAAATATACTTATTGAAATACTAATGAGTGTTTAAGAGTTAAAAATGGGAAACTTTCTTTTATAATCCTGTAATGGAGCATTTTTAAGATTACCGAAATTGACAAAATATTGCCCATACTATGTGTTTATTTAAATACGTATTGTGATGGCAATACAGTTTGAACAATCGTTTACAGTTTTGGTTGAAAAATATTTTTATTTAATGCATATTAACTTCAAAAAACAGCTTACTATTGAAAAGTTACTCCAGCTCTAAAAACCAATAACATTGCACCATAACGTTTTTTCGGTTTAGGTACTTAGAATAATTGTTTAGGTCCGCTCAGGTTCGTTTCTAGTTACGTTTTAATGTTTAGTATAGATTTCTCAGAGATGAGATATTTTCCCGCAGTGAAAAGTGTCCTATATATTGACCCGGATAACCAGCTATCATCATACTAAATTTCATCGAAATCCCTCCAGTGGTATTTCCGTGTTGCAGTAACAGAAAGACAGACAGACTATAGATTCGGCCTCTGATAATAATGTCTATTTCAATAAGACTTTCCAAAAAATATTTAATGTACAGATATTCGGCTTAGTTGCAATTTTATTATATGTATAGATAACAAGTCTACTTCATATTTTATTTTTATACCTACAGCCACACGTACTACCAATTCAGATATAAAATGGAATTAAAAATGGCGGCTCATTAAAATATTATTAAAAGATCAAATTATTTAAGACATAATAATATTTTTCAGTTAATCGACAATTAAACAAAGATTACAAAAATAATACTAATTATTGTTAATGTCATTATTTTCTTATATTAATTACTAAGTAATTTAAATTATTCTGGTGGGTTTCCTACACTAAATTACCTTCTTATAAATAACTAGCACGACCAAAAACCAAATTCTTAGGTTTTACAGATTAGTATACTCTTACATTGCAGTTTTTGTATTTTTTCTCAGAAAAAAGATATTTTCCCGCGGTAAAAAGTACCCTATATGTTGACCCGGATAACCAGCTATCATCATACCAAATTTCATCAAAATCTCTCCAGTGGTTTTCTCGTGATGCGGTAACAGACAGACAGACAAAAATTCTAAAAACTATAGATTCGGACTCTGTATCGATAATAATGTCTATTTCAATTAGATTTTTCAAAAAATATTTAATGTACAGATTCGGCTTGGTTGTAATTTTATTATATGTATAGATTAGCGACTCAACCTCACTTCTTTTTGATTAAGGGATGATTTCCGGGATAAAAATTATACTATGTCATTTCCAGGATCTCATACTATCTTCTTATCGAATTTTATCTAAATCGGTTCAGTAGTTCCAGAGATTGCTTCCTACAAACAAACTCACAAATTTACAAACTTTATCTCTTTATAATATAGATTGGAGTAATTAAATCATCTTCAGCTAGTTTTTAATGTAGTATGAATTTTCAGACACATTAAGAATAATTTACAAGGCAAAGTATCCTTACATTGGTGAAAGGACACCATGATTGTACTAGAACGCTCCCCAAATGATTGTAAGAAATTTTTAATTTGAGTTCCATTGGGTGTTTTTATATAGAGAATTTGAAAAAGTATAGAAATAAAAGCGGTAGTGTATGCAAAAAATGAATATTCTCATATTTTTTAATAGCTGGTCGTAACTTAAGTGCTTACCGGGGTCCTTTTAATTTTGTCAATGATTTTGGGACTGCTTTTAATGATAAAGTGGCAGTTTATGGTGGTAAGTGTTTATAGCCTTTTGAGAATACGAAAATAAAGCTAAAATGCTTGTAAAATTCTTTTTTCTAATATATTTTTCTTGTAAAATGAGATTTAGTAACCTAAAAGGCAACATGTTATTTTTCCCTTTATACCTGAAACGTACAGTAATATTCTGATGCCACAATTGCTGCAGTTTAAAATTGCCAAAAAATTATGTCGATACATATTCCAATATAACTAGGTTGTTTCTTAAGAAAAACTATTCTTATCATAATCACCTTGCAACTAAAACGAGAGTGAGTGGTCCTTATATACGGGGCCACTAAGAAGTATTTTTGAAACAAATATCATGAAAATTAGTTAACAATTGTTGAAGGTATCGCAAAGTATACACACATAACAGAATGCATACGAATCTATTACCTTTTTTCTGAAGTCGGTCAAAATAATGCAAATATATCTCAGTTAAGTGCAGTGTGAAAACATGTGGCTTTAGCATTTTCAGCGTATTTGTAACATTTACTTCTAGTAAAATTCAAATTGTATTTCCACGTTCCTATTTAAACTTTAATTCCAGTTACGCAGAACTTTCGTACGGAACCCAGTCACGAACTCCATTCAACTACCTAGTACTTTTGTTGAAGTAATTACGTCATTCTACTAAAATAATAATCAAAGTTCCCAAGGCTCTAACTTAAAGTAAATAATTAAGACGTTCATGGAATCTTTTTATTAATAAGTGGGCGTTGCTTGCGTCATAAGTTATTTTACAGAAGTATAGCAATCTTATTTACGCTTTGTTGTATGAATCATACAATATGAACTACACAGTACTGCTGTTAGATATATTTCAGTATGGGAGAAATGTTTGTATTGATAATAAATAACATATTTTCATAATATAAAGCAATAATCAAAAAATGTTTCTGATCAATTTTGGTCACAGCGGACTATGTCACTGAGACTAGCCATCTGCCTACCTGCAACCTGAGCAGATAATATTATATATAATATTGTTTGCCCAAAAACAAGTTTACTTTCAGCTCTTTTGTTCTTTCAGTATGCTATGATAATTATAATTCAACACGACTGATGACAGATCACATATATGCATGCAGGATTGACGTTTTAAAATTATGTATGTAAAATTCACACTAATGTCTAAGCTGCGACTGCGAAATCCTTTTGTCAGAAAAATCCAAGAACTCTGATTAGCCCGAACCGGGTCTCAAATCAAGATCTCTAAATCAGTACACGATTAATAAGACCACTGATAAAGACTAATACAAACAGGGTTTTAAGCAAGTCTTCAAACCAAACCATATGAGATCCACTTCTAAGGATCTAGGATAGAATTTAGGATCGACTGTAGGGTTTAACTATAAAAAAAACTAACCTAACCTAACCTAACCTTCTAAATCCATCATTAGTTGAGCTCAACATTACCGAATATATAAACACAAAATTTCAAATCGATACGATAAGTCAAGTCGTAAGGTTGATTGTCCTTTTGTTTACATAGTACTGCCAGTGTTGCTATAATATAAAGCTAAAATATCCTTAAAAGTTTGTTTTCATATAAACAATAACATAAGAAACAAAAATCTAATTTATTAACTTTAAACGAGCAGTTCTTGTATATTTATTTATTTATTTCGTTGAAATTTGGTATGTAGAACACCTACACTACTACTTCTTACTTCGGGGGCTAAAACTCAATCTAGATTAGTTTTATGTCTGGGAAAACGCATGTTTTCGAGCTTTCATGCGGTTTTCTTCCGCATTCTACACAAAATATGGTCACTAATTTCGCACGATCGTTCATAAGCATTGTGGTCAAGCAGCCAAGGCACAAGATTGACAATCACAGGTATCCAGGTTCGAATCCCAGTTGGATACAAAGTTATTACTTTTGTTTTTTTTTTGCATTTATTTAAGTTTTTAATTTTTTTTATTTTCTAGCAAAATAAAAAGAAAATCGTACTGTAGCCAAAAACTCCGAGCGAAGCTCGGTCGACCACGTACTGTCGACTTTATATTCTCATCAATATCTGCCCCTCATAGAGTATCTGAGACTACTCAGTTTTTTTTCTATATTTCTTCAGGAGATAGATATTTTTTTAAGAATCGATGTTATAGATTACTTTAAGTTTTAGTTTAAAAAATTGCTTAATTTTCAATTAATATCGATATTTATCGAATCGAAAAAATCGAAAAGTCTAAATTTTTAACTATCATGCTATATCAAGAAATTCAATTTTCTTATACTGAATTTAGATCTTTTGACATCAGTTTTAACTGTTCATTATCTTAATGAGATATCAAAATGTAATATTAAATATATCTTGTGATTCTTCTCAATAAGAGAAGAATTTCTTTCAATATTCGAAATCAAGTTCGCAGTTTCATTTTAAACTGTAACAGTGTCTTTGGTCACGTCGTCATGGTTACTGCACGTCTGCTATGTATGGTACAAGTAAGGAGAATAAAAAAATGTTAAAGTATAATAAAGTAAAAAAAAATATAAACTCACTAGCATTGCCCGCGGCTCCGCCCGCGTTCACATGACCAAAAATTATATTCTTAGGTTTTACAGATTAGTATACTCTTACATTGCAGTTTTTGATTTTTTTCGCAGAAATGAGACTTTTCCCGCGCTAAAAACTTGACACGGATAACCAGCTATCACCATACCAATTTCATTAAAATCTCTGCAGTGATTTTTCTTTGATGCGGTAACAGACAGACAGGCAAAAAATCTAAAAATATTTTATTCGGCCTCTGTATCGATAATAATGTTTATTTCAATAAGATTTTCCAAAATATATTTAATGTACAAGATCGGCTTAGTCACAATTTTATTATATGTATAGATATTTATTTATTAACTATATTTGCTTGCGTAGTTTAAAAACTTTTATCCCTTTTGGAGGTGAATTTTCGATAATGTTTTCT